CAGAATTTAAAAGAAGATTCCAAGACATAATTTGACCTAATTTTATTGTTTATACAAAATCCTTTCTTGGAATCAGAGATAAGAAGTGACTTTATCAATGGAAAAATTTTATTTCTTAACAAATCGGAGGCTAAATTAGAGAATATTATTCTTACTTTTGATATAAGCACAGAAAATAAAAATGAAGTTTTTAAACTAATGGGCTCTATTAATTAAAAAAGCATATTTAGGTGTGCACTTAGAGTGAAAGCAGTTTTCGGTTCAACATACCTCTGCGAGCAGGCTTCTTCACAACTTAAAATAATAAAAAGCAAGTACGGAAATATGTGGATTCCAGGCCATGTGAGAAAACAACGTGGTGCTGGCATGCTGTGTATCAGAATGCGCCTTTAGTTAGTTGTAATTAATTTATTAATATGTGCATTTCTTTATTTTCGAATTTGAAAGAAAATTAGTTTGAATCGACACTACATTTGCGTTTCGTTAGTGGATTTTCTTCAGTTTTTGTAAGTTTGTATTAATCTTTTTTAATTATTTGGAAACACAAACTCCACCAGTAGAATTACATATTTTCGTGAAATTTGTATTTCCCAAACATAAGAAATCGGGAGCCGGGAAGGTACAGCAGGAATTTAAAAATAGCCCTTAAGGCAAAATCGATTGGTTATTACTGATCTAGGATATGATAAAGCTTCATGTAACACAGAAAACGAAGTAACAGCTACACCGATGCAAAACCAATATTATCATTATTTCAGAAAAGTGGATGACATGGGAGAAACCTTTACTCCAAAAGGAGGTATGCGAGCTTTACTTGAGAATTCGTACGACTTTATAATTTAAGCGTGGAAAGATATTAAAGCCGGTATCTTTATAAAGGTTTTAAAAAGAACGCCATTTCGTGCGGCTTTCCATTCGTTCGATGGGGAAGAAGATCATTATTTATGGAACAGCTATACTTCTAAGATTCAAGTAATTCATAAGCTGAATAGAATCCTTATCGCACGGCAGATGACTATGAAATAAATGAACATTTCGTTTGCGATGATGACTGGCTTTCAGCCTATGTTTTAAAATTAATAAAGAAATAAAAGTACCGACGGTATAAAATTATTTTCAGGAGCGCGAATATTATTTTCTGAATATTATTCTTTCCTTGAATAAAATTTGCTTAGAGAATACTTCTTTTTCATATCTGCAAGTACAATAGAACCTTGATTTACGAACAACTTGGATCATAAATAGATTTTCCAAGAGAAAAATGTCTTGAATGACGATGTCCTGAGATACGAAGAAGTAACTTGGCAACAAATGTTACTCCAAAATGCAGTTAATGCAGCAGAGCTGTAATTATGCATTTTAACGCCCGCGCACACCTGAAAGTTTCGAATACCCTCCTACTTACCAACTATGGAAAACATTTAATTTTAAAATTTCGTAACATCAATTTGGCGTCCCCTGGATGCTGCGCCCGAAGACAGCTTGCTCCTCCCTTAGCTACGCCACTGGATTGCAGTGGAGGAAATATCTTTCGTAGAAGAAGAAAGAGGGAAGGAAAGATGCTCCTATTTATTTGATCAGCGATTTCTGTGCAAAATAGGGTGAGGTGGTGTGGTGTAGTGGCCGAAACCGCTACGCAAACCCTGGGTTGTGACACAGGGCTGAAATGAACTTCAAACTCAAGTTTTAACAATAACATGAATTTTAATAAGATGAAAACCTTAACAGTTGCATACCTTGACAGTATGGGACTTGGATGTATTTAGTCCCGTAATTTCAGAACTTTGTTTAACAGGAAAAATGCTCTTTCATATTATACACAAGGAATTATAGTTCTAGCAGGCCAACATGCTCGTAGCTCCAAACAGGAAAGCTATCCCCTCTTCTCAGGAAACCACTTTATATATCTCCCTGTGTTTACTTGATCTGAATTCTCGGGGAAGGGATGATTCTTTCACTTATACATAACAAAGTATCCATCTCCTGACCCAGATGAAAAGAATTCTTTTAGCTCTTTGTCCACTGGAGTGACCCTCGAGGCTGCAACCGGAATCATTAACAAAGACACAGGATTTCACCACGGATATGAAAACTACAGCACTCTGAAATCACTCCTCCTAGAAAAAGAACCTTTACGCCACCTTATCACAGTGGGGAGGTTCATAGAACATTATTACCATAATAAAACAATAGGTAAGCTATAACATAAACATTTGCAATGATAGTGCCGTGTGCTGCTTTCGGAATATTTTAAAACACAGGAAAAAATCACAGTTGACATAGTTTTAACGGGGAAAAGGCTCAGCGATTCTTAAGTGAGCGGTTTTAAGAGATTAAAAATAAATAAATAAATAAATAAAGACAAAGACAGCAGCTATTTGGCATTTTACGGAATAAAATATCTTCTTCAAACAACAACATTTTGCAACATTGGTTTTTCCAATGTTTTTACTTCCACTTCCTTGTACAAAGTAAAGGAAGTATTGTTAATCGCAAAAAATTTCGGCTATCATATTTCAACGAAAGTATATATTTTGACCCTTGTCGAATGCAATTTAACAATGCTTTTGAGTGACATCTGTATACATAAAAGCATAATAAAGAGTTCTTTTTCCCAAAACGAATAGTAAAATGGATTTAGAAAAGATTTCTCGTGACGCCTGTATGTACACTGTGGGGAAGAAAGAAAAAAAAGGGGGGGGCAGTTTTATATCTTCCGTTCTATTGGGCCAATTAACGAAACTCAACTTGCGTTTTTCATGTCTCGAAAGCGCGACTTAGAATATTAGTCGCGCTATTAGTCGTAGATTTACATATAGCATTGCTCTAATATATATATTTTAAACCAAAATCGGATTTTTTCTGAAATAACGGACCATTCCTTCCCCCCTTATTTCGATTCTACGACTAAAATTACGCCAAACTACCAAGTTTCGTAAAAATCGCACGAGTAGTTTTTAAAAAATTAGCTCTCAAAATTTTAGCTCGGCAGAGTTAATTGAGTTTGGTATGTATTTATTAATCTCTCTTTTTTATTAAACATATTTGATTCTTCCTTTCACATTTCGAAATTTAATTTCATTCCAAATAAAATTCCCCCATTTTTTATGATTTATTTTTAAAATTTGTATTTTTAAATTATTTTTATAAATTTTTCAAAAAAATTGTTCTATAATTACAATCTATAAAATTTTTACCATTATATTAAAGTAGGCGTATTTCTAAGCATACCTGCAAAAAATTACAGTTTTTTATTCAAAATTTCCGAAGATATACGTGAGTTTCTATATGTGCTCGTTTTCAAATTTGGCATATTTGTTGAAAGCGATAAAACATCAAATGTGGTTTATGGATTTTTGTTACAGTGAATTTGCTAAAATTATTTGGAAGTAGAAAAGAAGTGACTTTTTTTCCGCTCATGCACAATGTAAAAAGGTAGGAACGAGGTTTTTTTGTTTTTTTTTTTTTTTTTTTTTTTTTTTTTTTTTTTTCCCGTCCGGCATAATGGAAGGAAAAGGAAAATTGGTTGCCACATATTAAGAAGTTCGCCAAAATTGCGCCAAGATAAATTTTTAAATTTCTCCGTAAATTTCGCACCAAATGTTATAAAATTTAATATCTACGCATAATTTGAGTCGTACAATCGAAATATGGAAAAACATTGGTATGTTATTTCAGAAAAAGTCCGATTATGTGTCAAAATACCTCTGTTAGAACAATGCTATATATAAATCTAATATATATCCTAAGTCGCGCTTTCGAGATATGAGAAACTCAATTTGAATTTTGTCAATCAAATAATCACATAAATACTAAACTGAACTCCATTTTCATAAAAGGTGGAGTCGCACCACTTGCGCTCTAAAACATTCCCGAGTATTACTTAGTTTCGCTCTTATCAGCCAAATATATGTGAATAATGATTCAGTTTTTAATTTTCGATATAATACGTTCAGATGAAATAAGTTATTTTTGCCTAATTTGTTATATCTTTTTGCCAACAGATTATCGAGGTTTTAGTTACATACCAAGTTTCAACTCAGGAATTTATTTATTTATTTACGCAGAAGAAATAGTTTACGGATCTTTTAAAACAAATGTGTTTCGTCACCCAGAGACCTTGAACAATGTACCCCTATTTCTGTTAACCGATTCTAATTACTACCTCCTTTTGTACCGATCCTAAAACCCTTTACTTTGTTATGAATGATGCTTGAAGTTTTGTCATTGAATATGAAAGTTTGTTTTGTTTAATGATCAAAGCTACGAAATTAAAAAAGAAAGGGGGGAAAGAGCTTAAGAAAGAAACCGTGCTGCATTTTTGAAGAAAAAGGTGAAGCAAAAAATTAATTAATAGACAAATCTTGTACAATAAAGAGAAGAAAAATATAAAGGAATGGAGTGAAAACTTTTTCATGCCATTAAAATTAAAATAATATTATTGATTAACATTTATTTCGTTTGCAGTAAGAAAAATCGTATAAAAATAAGACAAGGGAAAAAAAAAAAGATTTCTCCTACCTTTCATATTCAGGTAGAGGAAGCTTCAGAATGAAAGGATCACCATCCAGAAGCGTATTTTCAAATCATTACTTTCTGGTCTATTTAAATCATTTTTATCAAATGTAACTTTTTAATAGTTGGAATAGGCACATCAAATTTAACCTAAAAGATACTTATTTGGAAAACTAAGGTGCACCATTTTCTCATTTTTCCTCACTTCTTTAACATCATTTTCTTATTTTCAAGTATTGGTTTGCCAAAACTCATTTACTTAGTTATAAAACATATAAAAGCATATAACAGTTCATACTGTCACCCTTTCATTTCCAGGAGAAATTTGGAAAAAATAAAGTTATACAAAGTATTTTACTATTCATCATTTATGAAAGAGTTATGCGAAATTATTATGATAACATTAGAAGAACAGTGTAAAAACGTATAGCGTTTATTCATATTATTTAATTCAAAACAAGTCTATGAAAGAGTAATATCCTTACCCTCCTCAGGTTTCTCCTGCACACTGATGGTCATGTGAGTTGTCTTTTGGATGATATGAGTGGTTAAGCCGCAGCCATCATCTTGTGTTTTTTCTGAGAATAAAGAAAATAAATACAGGGTGCAAATTTAAAAGGTAACGTAGGTATTTAAAATGTGTAATTTAAAAGGTTCAGATTTTCGTACTCATTCATGTATATGATTGAGCAAGAAACAGAGGGACAAAGTGCAAGTTAGCGAAAGCAGTTTGCGTAACACAACAATAAAAAAATTAAAAGGGGTAAAATAAAAGCTTATTTTCTCAGAATTTTAAATTATCAACATCCCCTTTCTCCTCCTAAAAACAGCAGTCCACAAAAGTGTTTTATATTGTTTCTGACAGCTTATAAAGCTGTCATTATTTAAAAGTTCGACATTATTTAAAAGTGATTCTTTCAAAAATATTTTTTAAAAAAACCTAAACATCAACTGAGAAACCTGATTCAGTAAGGCCATTGAATTCTATTTCGCACGAGAAATAAAATTTCCAGTCAGATACACATATGAGTGAAACAAGCGTATGTCAAGAATCTCATCTCTCTTCCTGCTTGTATTATACACAAACAGTTGCATTAAATACTATAAATGTAACATAGGCACACTAATACCAGAAAACAGTTAAAGATAAAATAGAAGAAACTGTCACAACATGGAATGTGGTTATCTTTTGCAACATCATAGGATTCATGTCAATCTCTCATATTGCTGATAACGGTGTTTAGGTACTAATTATTATAGCAATGAAACCTTTGAAGATCAATACATCTAACGTCTCATAATATTAAATTTACCTCATTAAAATGGCCGTTTTATTTGTACGAGAGAGTTTGCTTATAGATACTATTCTGCCAACCTGATTCAGTAAGGCCATTGATTTCTGTTTCGCACGAGAAATAAAATTTCCAGTCAGATAAACATATCGCATGTATATATGTCAAGAATCATACATACGTCATTACATATGTCAAGAATGTCATCTCTCTTCCTGCTTGTATTAACACGATCTGTCTCAAAAGTAATTTTACGCAGCAAAGACTGACTAATACCTTACTGCGGACCATGGGTGCTAGTTCACTTGTTCCTAAGCTTCCCTTGACTTTTCAAGGCGAGGTTGACAATCGAAAACTTCCTCAGCATGTCTGCGAGCAGCTCGTCCCCCGTGCCATATATGACTGTGAACGAAAAATACTTATTTGCGTCGTACGAAGTTTGACATCCGATTGCTAAAAGCAAAATGTCATTGGAGAAGATCATGCATAACTTGGTGGAATTAAAAAGGTTGGAAAGTTCCTTTGTCAACTAACAGTGTAGCCAACAGAATTTCTAAAATTAACGACAGCCAGTTCATGAAATTTATTATTAGATTTAAAGAAAGACCAAAATTTACAATTCATTTGGACAAAATAACTGATATCCCAAATATAGCTCAGCTGTTGGTATATGTCAGGTACGTTTCTTAAGAAAATATCGATAAAAAATTTTAGTGGAAGAACATGAAGACGGAAATATAGAGATAGTAAAATTTATTAAAATTTAAACATATTTTCCTTTCTCATTTTATTTTTGCTGTTTTATTTTATTTTAATTATTTTATTATTTGAAATTTATTTTAATTGTTGAACCTGAAGCTTTAAAATGAAAAAATTCCATTCACGTATGCACACATAGTGCAAAAGCAATGATGGGCATAAATATTGGTTTTAAATTATTTGTTAAAGCTGCTAGAAATGATCATTAATTTTAAACACTGCTTGATCCATCGAGAGGAAAAAATAAATAAAATGAACAAAAATAAAATTTAAAAAAAAAAAAAAAAAACTGAAAGCTTTCAGATTTTACATTACGCCCAAAGAGATTCTTTTTAACCTTTTGTGTTACCTTCATTTATTAAATGTTCTTTGCACTTAAACCATAAAATTCAATTCAACAGCAATATCTCAAAATAATATTAAAAATGAGTAATCGTTAGAATTTCCGATACATAGTGTCGCGCGCTGCAAATAATTATTCCCCCCCCCGTACAGTTTTACCATTGCTCGCTTTGAAATCGTTGAGTTTGTTAATCAAAAATTCGTTGAAGTGTTACAAAATCTGAAATCGATAATAAAACAAATTTCAAATTTCAAATTAGGTCTTCCAGATGCCCATATTCGGTGGAAAATTATGTTATTCAGAATTTGATGGCTCTAGGTACCGTTGTTTTATTACAATGTGAGAAACATACGTACTTATGCAGATTCTTCACGATTTAATTTTTTTAAATATAATACAGTTTGATAGTTCTTCTGGGCATATTGCCCCTCTGGACTAATAATAGACTACAAAATAATAGGAAAGTGATAAAAAGGAAGTGTTTCAAGATACTCTCAAATTATTAATATTTATTACAACTGTCTATTTTAAAATCTATATAAAAATAAAAATTCCGAATAGAAAATTTATTATTTCATGTAGAAGTAAGATAACATAAAGACGGCAAAATTTAACAAGATTATTATCATTAAAAGACGAAATTATTATATTTTTAACCTAACAAAAATCTGATCTTACTGCTCTTTACCAAAATGGCTTCAAAGCGATGCTATTTTTCAGATATTTTTGAGAAACTCAACTTTTCTCTTCAAGGAAAAAATAGCAACATATTTATTTCGAATGATAACAGGAGAGTTTTATTAAAAACATGATTTGGAAGAATAGTGTGGAAAATGATTCATTCAAAATGCTTTCTAGTACCGACAAATTTAAATTGAAAAAGCAACTGCAAAATTTGTATTGCAAAAATTAATACAGATCACTTCACTTTGTATTGCAAAAATTTGTATTGCAAAAATTAATACAGATCACTTCACTTTGTATTGCAAAAATTTGTATTGCAAAAATTAATACAGATCACTTCACTTTGTATTGCAAAAATTTGTATTGCAAAAATTAATACAGATCACTTCACTTTGTATTGCAAAAATTTGTATTGCAAAAATTAATACAGATCACTTCACTTTGCTCTCGAAATCGACTAAATATACACCATAAGGTTGTTGCTTTACTAGTTTTATACTATATGTATATTTTTAAAATTACAGATAACCCTCCTACAACACGGCATCCTGTAACACGGTTTCGCTACAACACGATTCATAAATTGCAAGACGGCCGAGCGGTAAAGTCGTTGAACACTGGTAGTTCGGTCCGAGGTTCGAATCCCGCAAACGGGCTGGCTGCATGTGTGTTTTCGTGGTTTTCCCCATGTATAACGTGTATACGAGCCAGTTTCCCTTAGAAAGTCCTCCACGAAGGCATCCCTCCTCTTAGGCAGATAGCCCTAGTGTGCTTTGCCATAATTCAATACACCATTCGCCATAAATTGCAAGAACCCTCCTACAGCACGGTTTTCCAATAACATGGTTTCGCTCTAACACGATAAGAAAATTGCCCAAGCAATCCGAAGAAATTTAACGAACCGAGTTCCGCACGAAGTTTTTCCAATATTGTGCAAAGCACCCGTATAGTCATTCAACACATAAAAACCCTTGTTTCCTAAGTTTTGCCAGTTGTTTTCCAAGATCTCGGTAGCCATAAGAACAAATGTCCTCAGATGACCTGTATGAAGAAATATCCTCGGATAACAATGAAGAAACCTCATCGCAAAAGGCGAACAACATGAGGTCACAATAAGTGCTCTAAAACGCACAACCTACACGTTAGGCTTCCAAAATTCGAATCTTCGTCTCCATGGCCTTGAAAAAAAAAAAAAAAAAAAGTGTCTCACGCTGCTGGTCGGCAGTGAACGTCGAGCCATGGTGTGCTAAAGAATAACTTTTTCGTCTTTTGGATATTAAGTTTCAGTCCCCAAACATGTCCGATAAAGATTAAAAAAATAAAAAATAAACGTTTAAGAGGAAATTCATTTCTTTAAAAGTACAGATACAAATCTTGGACTGTCTTTTAAAAGAAGAAAAGGCATCTCACATTGGAAAATGTGTTAACTGGAATGAAGAACAGTCCGGACTAATAAGAAAAATTAAAAAGAAATAAGAAGTGCAGTTGCTGCAGGATCTTCGACATCCGCAAAACGTACGAACCAATAATTGAGAAGATGGAAAACGCACTCAGCATTTTGGATTGATAATAGCTGTCAAAAACGAATTTCGTTGGATGGCAGTATCATTAAACCAAAAGCACTCAAAATTTTCAAGCACCTCAAAGAACATGAAGAAGCCAGATTTTCTGGTAAGTAAAGGCTGGTTCGAAAATTTCAAGAAGCATTTTGCAATTCATAGCATAAGAATTCAAGGAGAATCTGCATCGGCTAATTATGAAGCTGCTGGGACGTTTTCTGAAAAATATCAAAATATTATAGAAGAACAAGGATACACAGCAGTTCGAGTTTTCGATGATTCAAAACTGGGCTTTGGTGGAACAAAAATTCCCAGTAGAACCTTTATATCGAAAAAAGAAAAAAAAACTGCATCCTGATTTAAGGTGTCTAAAAATTGTCTAACGCTATTTTTGTAAAAAATTTTGAGCTTCAAGGCGCTTATTACTATTAGATAATGCTCCATGTCACCCACACGATTTGAATCATTACAATGTCAAATACTGTTCCTACTGCCTAACACTACTTCGTTACTCCAGCCATTGAATCACGGTATTACTTATACTTTTAAAATATATTACATAAGAAGAACATTACAGTAGATTTTAGATGTAACCGATTCAAAATCGATTAATGTAATAGAAGCATGGAAGACATTTTCAATCAAGAACTGAACTGACATCGTAGCTTTATCACTGAAAGAACTGAAAGCATCAACGTTAAATGCATGTTAGAAGATATAGCCCTCTTCAGTTGAAATAGAAAACGTGCGTGAATCGTCAAAAAATGAAATTGGTGGCATACTAGAACTTGCTAAATCACTCGGAGGCGAAGGTTTTGTGAACATGACTATTGAGGACGTTCAAGATTTATTAGCGGAAGAAATTGATGAAGATTTGATAGAAATGACATCCGAAGCTGTAAATCAAATCGATTCTGAGGACACTACCACTGATGAAGATT